ATATTATACCATTCGTCTATAGTCACAGAGGAACTATTGTAAAGCAGAAGTCTTCGAAGGTAGCACAAGTGAACCACAGTAAGAAATACAATATACAATATAATTTTTTAGGGGAGAATGCTAAAAAATGTTCACATAACTAAAAGTATTCAAGTTACTGTTTTGTCGTTTTGTTTATGTTATATTGACAACAAATTGTAGTTAAATATGTGTAACTATGGCGCTCATAATGGCAAAAGTGTTTTGGGCTCTCTACTGCATATAATAGGTGGAACGGACCGGTTCTCTACTGCATGTCTTGGGATGAACGAACCTGATTGACGTAATGGTAAGGTGTTATGAATATTAAATAAAGATTGGTTATATAATAGTGACAAATTCCGTAAATCATGCTTTCGAATATATCAAATATATTAAATATCGCTGAATGTCATCTTTCATTCACTTGTTTGCTGATCAAGGTATGTCATCGAAGCATTTTACGACGTAGATGGCGCTTTAACATTCATGCACCTATTGAAGAAAATCAAGATGGCCAGAAATCTTGACCACTATGACGCTATGGATATAAGGCACCAGTCATTTTGTCAGCATCTTCTCATATCCTTAACATTCAAATAAAACAATGACATATTAATTATACTTATTAACAATTCATTGTTAATGACAAAGTCCCCGTTGGAATTGAATTAGGAAAAATGTTTTCGATGGACCAAAAGAATAGTTAGAAATACACCATACACCGTAATTTGCCGATGTTAAATCGTCAGGTAAAAAAAATAAAATAGAAACATTTACAATTCGAGGGAAACGGACAAAAAATCGTCCGCGAAGTCTCAACCTAGCGTGAAAACTGTCATGGCGTTGTGTTATCAATTCCACTGAGGGAGGGACACAATGGATTACGTAAAGCCGATGACTTATTCATACAGTTATAGAAACATAGCGATCGCCATTGGGTGGGTTGAGTCTAAATTTACCTTCCCTCAAACCTTTAAAAAATACTTTGTATGACGCAGTTTCCGTGGACCGTGCGAAGTTAGACGACCAGGTTGAAAAGGGCCCTAATATTTTACTACACAACGACTATTCGCAAACGCCGGTGAAACAAATTCGAAATAAAGTCACATTGGAAAGGGAACTATTGTAAATCGATGCAGGTTTCATTCAACTGCAGACGAGACAGATCGATGCAAATTAAACGAACTCTGACCCCTGGAAATACCTCATTCATAGAGTTCCTTAGTACCAGAGGTCGCCGGGCACAGACATACAACATAGTTTGCATCGATGGCATCGCAGAGTGCATGATTTTTCCGCGGTGTTTAAAAACAGCATCTCATTGCCGATTTTTCGGTAATTTCCAGGGTATTTTTTTTTATTTTTAATTAACCGAGCATTTTATGTTTGTGTATTTTGGCACTGAAAAGTTAGTTATCGATGACAGCAGCAGCTGTGTTGTTTGTCAGCTCACCGTCCCTCAACACGGTGTTGAGGGACGGTGGTCAGCTGCATAACAATTC